GAAACATTCCCTAAGACATTCCATGAAACATTCCCTAAAACAAGGATTACATTGCTCAAGAAAAGTATTCCCTAAAACAAGGAATGAGACAAGTGCCATGAGACAAGGGGTGTCTTGTGTTTCATGTCTTTGTGTTCCACAAAGGACAATCACACAAGAAGCCAATATTGCTAACACTTAGAATCTTCTTGTACTCCGCCACCTCCTCCTCACTCCCGTGCTCGCCCAAGTACCGAACCACATAATCAGTCAGCTGGGAGATGTTCTGGCTCTTGATTACTCCCACGAACTCCTTCGCCGGCGCCGTCTCATCAGGCGGCGAGACATTGATATCCGGGATGTAATTGGGTGCTCCACCGTCGCCGGCGGCGGCTCCGTTTTGGAGAAAACAGAATTGGTGGTGGCTGGTGCTGCTGTTTAAGGCCAAATTCAGGCGGAATTGGATAATTGCAGTGGCGGCGTCTTCTGGAGTGCACCCAGTGAGGAGAGGGATGCGAGTCAGGAAGACCCTTTCTGGGCACAAACAACTACTTGTCCAGGTTCCGTTGACAGCTGCCGAGTAGAGTCTCGGTGGCCTGAGACTGCCTATGTTCTGTACGGCTTGGATCTCAATCAAACGGATTTCTTCAAGATGGAAATGGACAAAATTGGCACGATAGTTGGTGCTCATTTTGAAAGGTTTTTTTGAGAAAAGTGGAGAGTAAAGATAAAGAAAGAGAGAGAGAGAGAGAGAGAGGAAGTAGAAGTTGAAGTTGAGTTTTCAATTGCTCTTTCTTTTATAGGCAAGACAGCGGGTGGGGTGTGGTGCCTAGCTCCATGGCTTAGCAACGGCTCCATGCCTAGCTGGGCTTAGGCAACGGTGGTCGGGAAAGTCAATAGTTACGATTTTCTTTTCTTCGGCTTGTTTACTTTCTATCTTATCTCTATTTTTTTCGCCTTTTTTCTCTTTTTCTTTTATAATTTTATGATATTTACCTCATTCACTCATTCAAACTCAAAGTAAAAGAAAAATGAAGATATTTACCTCATATTCCACGCACGGCGCCAAAACCTTGTGTTCCTCCACTCCACTCCACTCCGCCACTTGTCCCCGCACAGAAAAGGTAGCTGTTTTCGTTTTTATTGTTACAAGTTTACAACTCTCACAAGTCAAATTACATCTAGAAGTTCTACTAATTGCTTGACTACATCATCATCCCATCTCCCATCACTGCCGTCCACGTGTATACACCGCACATGCCCTTTGTTTTTTTCAAGTGTGGGAAGAACCCACAAAGCTTTCCATTATCACCCATTCTCTAAATTTCACCTTTAGATACACACATTCAAACAAGAAATTAAATCATAAAAATAATAATATTGTAGTATATATGTCGGTTGACCCACGGCTGACCAAACTTAATTTAACTAGAACCTCGTGAGCAATTGGGTCTGACCGTCTGAGGTATCATTCTAGTCAGGTAGGCAGCAATTGGGTCTAAAGTTTTCATAACATGCTCAACCCAAAGTCGAAACCTGAAAGACCACCCGCAGTTCAAATTGAAATTGTTTTAAGAAGCTCAAATGAAATTCTATATATAACCAAATAACAAGAATTTATTTGATACTATTTGTAAAATCATTAAATTAATACAGAAATGCAGGTGGAGATCCAACGCCAAGATGCATTCATTTGTGATGAGTAGAGGAAAATCATAATAAAGCGATGAAAAATAGGGAAAACCTTACATTTATGAAAATGGGGGAAGAGAGAAGGGAGGAAGGGAGGAGAGGAGAGGAGGGGAGAGGGGAGGAAGAAAAGTGGCTTCCTCCCCCCTCGAAGTGAAAACGGCTCTAGAGTGTTGTCTGAGAGAGAGGACTAAGGTTTTGGGGAAATACTAAACACCTGAAACTAATATTAACATTAACAAGGCAAGCATACCATATTCAATTCTACCATGAGGCGTTTGAGAAGAAGGCTTTGTGGTTGGGCCACTTGGGTGAGAGACACATTATGAGACCTTTTTATTTGTAGAATTAGTCGTATGAACAATTTTTTGGAGCTGTCCTTATAAGGAAAAAGAGAGGAGAAGACTCATCTAAGACTTTTGTTGCTTTAAATTATTTTATTAAAATACAGACACTACCTTACCTCAAACTGCTCCACAAGACTAATGATTTTACCCTCTTTTTTTTATACCAATCCGTATCTTTAATCTGATTTTATACCAATCAGTATTTTTAATCTAGTTTTATACCAGTGTAAAACCATGGCGTTTTTGCAGATTCTGCAAAATATAGACTGAATATGCTATAGGAAGGTTCAATTTAGTGAGCTAGGCACCTTTCAACTTCATCCCATCTCTAAAATAGACTCAATATGCTACATGAAGGGGGTTTTTTGGGTTTTAAAAATGAGCAGGGGAATATGTGTTAGTATGAAAATTATATTGTCATTTCCTAGACTCTATCATAGGTTGGGAATTAGTGTGTGATAGTGTTTACAGGAAGTTTTGGCACAACACATTCAATCCCTATCTTTCGAAGCATGACTTGACCGATATGAGAACCTTGCTTTCATGTACTCACACATTTATCCTAGACACATTCTAGATAATATTTACTGACTTCTTCATAACCAAACTTCTGTCACGGGATGATCTTCGACACTCCTTATGTTGAACGCAATATTGGTCACGATTGCTTCAAGCTCGCCGGGGCTAGAGTTTTTTTAAAAAAAGCGTGTGTATTAATATTAAGCACCTGAAACTAATTTTTTTTTTTTTTGGTGAAAACCAAGGTATCCCCCGCGCGATTGCGGGGACTAACCCTCGAGGTACTGTCGGGCGCAAAGCGGGGACCTCTCCCAACAAAGTCTGCTCTATTCGCAAGCGCCTGAGATCGAACCCAGGACCTCTTGTTTAAAGGATCCAAGCCCCTTCCACTTGGACCAACTCCTGTTGGTAGCACCTGAAACTAATATTAATATTTCTTAAACATTAACAAAGCAAGCATACCATATTCAATTCTACCACGAGGCCTTTAGAGAAGAAGGCTTTGTGGTTGGGCCACTTGGGTGAGAGACACATAATGAGACCTTATTTGTAGAATAAGTAAAAAGAGAGGAAGAAGACTCATCTAAGACTTTTGTTGCTTTAAATTCTTTTATTAAAATACAGACACTTACCTTACCTCAAACTGCTCTACAAGACAATAATGATTGTAGCAATTTTTTTTTTTGAGATATTTAGTCATATACTCATTCTTAGCATTAAAACTATAAATAAACCATACATCATTTAATTTCTATAAACAAACAACAACAAAAACCCAAAAAATGACAACTGGTTCTATTGAATTTAATTTGGATTATTAAATTACTTTGATACCCTATTGAGTGTTTTGGATTTTTTTTTTTTTTAATGAGATTTTGGGGTTGAGTTTGTTTTAAGAAATTAATGGCAGTTTTGTAATTTAAAAGAAGTTAAAAAACCTTTTTGTTATGTTGTAAATGAGCTTTGAGTGCGTTTCTAAAGTCCATTTCATATATGGTTTTTATTTATTTATAATTTGGGCTCCTATATTGGGTATAATAGTGAATCTCCCTTTTTTTATTTACCAATCAGTATCTTTAATCTGGTTTTATACCGGATAAACCAATACCAGAGTAAAACCATGGCGTTTTCGCAGATTCTGCAAAAATAGACTGAATATAGTATAGGAAGGGGTTTTTTTGGGGTTTAAAAACGAGCAGGGGAATATGCTAAAGGAAGGTTTCAGTTAATAACAATGCATGGTTGAGATATGGGCAGTCAAATATAGGGAATCTTGCAAGTTGTTTTAAGAGGATGAATCTGGTTGCTACCTTTCTAACCTAGGAAATATGCGAAGGAAATTGTTACCTTGTAGCTTAATCTGTTTTCACAAATGGATACGCATTAGTGATTTGCATATATATCATGCCATACAGACAAGCAACTATAGCATGGAATGCGAAGATGATGCAAAGATTCAAAGAGTACCAGCACTAGATTCCTAAAGAATTGATCTAATGTTATAGTCATAGTAACACAATGAATCTTGATTTTCTGAAATTTATAATGCATTCTCAGGTACCAAACAGTGTGCAATTGTGCAAGTGGCGGGTCCTCAGTTTATATCAAAGCAGCATTCATAGGAGGATCAACCAATGTTAAAAAGATGTCCAAACATGTTCATAATTTTTTTTTAAAATTTTTTTAAAAAAAGTCCAAACATAAACAAGGATGCATATCCCGAGCAGCAAGTACATATGCAAAAGGATTACAAATAAAATTTGTATTATGATGTGAGTCAAAGAACCTTTTAATATCATATACTTCTTAAAATCATCTACAAAAAATATTCATTGAGTGTCTTGGGGTTTCAAATTTCTGCCCACATAGATGGAGGAAGAAGAGCTCAACCAACCGAGCTATACCCCATGACAATTTTAAGTTTCTTAAGATAGTAACAAGAAAAAACCCTAAACACTCCTTGAGATAATCCTAAAGAAAAATCTCAACCACCTCCCCCTTGGGGGGTCGGTTGAAGTCCAAACTATTTGATAGAGGTTTGAAACCCCTTCGTCCAAACTGTTGGATATTAGCGATTTATGTCAACTAGTTCGGTTCAGGTGAACCAATGATTAGGCATTTCATCAATCAAATTGGAAATTTTTTGGGATATTTAGCAATTTATGTCAATTTGTTTCATTCAAGTGAACCGGCATTTTGTGAATCAGACCTCAATTTGAATGCAAATTTATTTTATGGTTAGAACATAAACTTCCTTTAAAATTCAAATTGATGATAGAGGGGGATTGGACAAACTAGTTCATCAGCTGCTATTAGCGTTAGTACTAGATCAGCTGGTATTTTGCCCGAAAAAGTTAAACTCGAAAATAACGACTTTTTGAAAAAGTCGAAACTGAAGCTCAGCTTAACGGGAAGCTGATTTCGGTTTAGTGATTCTGAAATTTCAATTTTGGCCATTGTACTTCGGAAAAATCACGGAAATGCCCCTTTATATATAATCCGTAAGAAATCTTAAAAATCATTCAAACGCCGCACCGTCCACAAATGTTGCTCCATATGGAATTATGGATGTGGTTTTCGACACCAGCTTCACGTTCTGGGAATTGTAGACAGCCAGCCCAAAGCAAGATCTTAGTGCTCCTATGGCTTATGACAATGAGGTGAAAATTTTGACACGGAATTGATGATTTTTGAATCTGACAATTCTGTTGAATTTTACTTTCTGTAACCCTCTTGCTTCTGTGTGTAGCTTGAACTTTTGTTTTGCAGCTATCTTCTGAGAGGCTCAGGGGTTCTTCATAACTGTTCACAGTAATGCAGATTCAATTAATGTGTAAGTTCTGAAATCACTCAATCTAGATGGAAAAAGTTGTATTATTTTCAAAAGATTAATACTATGATGGATATTCTTACATTTATGAATAAAGTACGCAATGAAATTATGGATGTAGGGTCTGGATTTCTTATTTTTGGGCATGAATTTTGCTTTATTCAATGAAAAGCTATATGATATCAAAGAGGCAAAGAACCCTTTTTTTTCATTACAGTATGTGCTTTGTCCCCCTTTCCAAATAGGCTCTATATATTCCCGAGTATTTGCTAACATTGGCTTCTGTCACTGCCTTGTGAGCTGACAGGAAAAGGGTTTTCCCAAATTGTCTTGAGAGCTTTTCTTTCTTTTTGGGTAATAAAATATGGGCCACAAGCAAGTACTTGTGTTCGTGGGTGTTTGGGTTTGAGACGTAAACAAAAGTGTCTGTACTAAACTACACTAAGGAGGATTTGGGTGTGGGTGGGGCATGCATTTGGCTTTTGGAATGGTAGATATTCTACTTTCCAGAAGTAACGAGGCAAATGATAGAACATTTTTAGTATTTAGTATGTACAGATTAAGCTGCAAGATTCATACCAATCAGTATCTTTAATCTGGTTTTATACCAGATAAACCAATACCATGGCATTTTTGCACCTTTCAACTGAAATAGACTCAATATGCTACAGGAAGGGGTTTTTTTGGGGTTTTAAAAACGAGCAGGGGAATATGCTAAAGGAAGGTTTCAGTTAATAACAATGCATGGTTGAGATATGGGCAGTCAAATATAGGGAATCTTGGAAGTTGTTCTAAGAGTATGAATCTGGTTGCTACCTTTCCAACCAAGGAAATATGCTTGGTGTTGTAAGAAATTCCATCAGGGAAGGAAATTGTTACTTTGTAGCTTAATCTGTTTTCACAAATAGATACATATTAGTGATTTGCATATGCATCATGCCATAAAGACAAGCAACTATAGCATGGAAAGATTATCAGCACTAGATTCTTAAAGAATTGGATGTAATGTCATAGTAACACGTGACGGTAACATTTGTGCTTATAACCAATTTGTAAGGACAATTTCAATTCAGGAGATAATGGAAACAATCTTATAGGGCAACATATATATAGACGATTGATTATCATGCTGAGAAAACAGAACTAAACATGTATCATGTTATCATTATAATACAGATGTGTGAATTATACATTCATATTCAAAACAGCCAAGGACTTCATGCATCAACAGAAAACAGCCGATGACTAGATATAAGGTGCATGCTGTAGTTTAGACTTATCATGCTTCCTAGAATTTATAGTGAATCTTGGTTTTCTGAAATTTACAATGCATTCTCAGGTATCAAACAGATTGCAATTGTGGAAGTGGCAGGTCGTCAGTTTATATCAAAGCAGCATTCATAAGAGGATCAACCAATGTGAAAAAGATGTCCAAACATAAACAAGGATGCATATCCCGTGCAGCAAGTGCATATGCAAAAGGATTGCATAAAGTCATGGCTCATAACCAAGCTCCTAGTACATACTGCAAGTATATATCAAATCATTCTAATACTGCAAAGCAAAACCAGGATGATTGTAGTCTTCAAAGTAAAAAGAAAGAAAACAGGATAACTGGGTGATGCTTAGTCTGTGTCAGAGACCTCTACTTCCATCACCCTCTTCTTCTGCTTGTGTTCAGCTGCAGCATCCATCATAGACCGGTCTGTAACCTCACCAACGTGAAGAACTAATCCAACAGGGTTAGGCTCCACGGCTGTTGAAGGGCTGTCCTCCGTCTCAGGCACAATGCCAGCCTCATCCTGAAACAAGATTGAAACATAGGTATTCATCTTTCAACAATAAAATAGATCACATCACAACATAAGAATTTCATACAATTAATCTTAACTACGTTTAGTCTCTTTACTATACATAGAGAATTACAAAGACCGGGTACTGGACACCAACTAGTACACTCCAAAGATAGAAATCATGCTTTTGGCCACGGTTTACTCAATGCTCTCTTATATCTCTGTCATGCTCTATTACTCGATGCTAAAACATATACATAAACGTAATTATATGTACGCATACAACATTCTTATCAATACCCAAGTAAAACCCAAATCAACAAATTTCTTACAGAAAAAATATTTACAAAAAACAAAACAGAAAAAGGCTTGCTGTAAAAGTAAAACTCCAAATTTATTTACCGAGTTGTCAATTAAGCCTCTAAAGCAAGGTCACGGAACTTTACCGTCGGCCATAGCCTGGCTGGGCCTCCAGCCCTGTGCCGGAGTGGGAAAAACCTCATGTGGTGCTGGAGGCATGAAGAAACTCGAAGGATTTGTGCCTAATCCCATGTCCTCCATTACCTTGAGCACCTGGAATGGCAGAGTAAGGTAATTCCACATCTTGATGGACTCAAAGTGCTCGACCCGGGATGCAGGGCTCACCTTTTCGAGGTACTCTTCAGCTTCTTTCTCCTTGCCAGCTTGTTTAAGGTAGCAATGCGTAGTTTTGATGAAGCGTTTGTTGCTGGCCACCAGAACCTGCGCCACGCAGTCCTTGATGAAAGCAGAGTCGACCGGACCAGGGTTAATCTGATCGGCTAAATCGCTTTCATCGACAGCAATTTGTTCTGCAAGACCCTCTTCAAGGCAAGAGTGTGACAAGCAGTTTTCCAGTATGGGAACCATTTCTTCTTTCTTCGGGAGAAACTGTTCTGGGATCAGATCGAGTTCTTTGAAGTGAGGTCCCATAAGGCTTGCAAGAACAGAGGCCTCTGGGTCCGGAGAGGTGGAGGACATCACTGTTGAATTTTAGTTGGTTTTTGGAGAAGGAAGGCGTTGGCGGTGTTGGGATTGGAGGTCACACGCCAAGTCAGCTTTGTATTTGTAGAAAGAGGTATTATTATAATTGTTTTTATAAAAAAATCAGAGCTTTTTGAAATCGACCTTGCTTCTGGGCCTACTTCTGCTCTCCCTCCCTCCTCCCTCTCGTCGAATCAAATAAACAACTTTATTATTCTGATTTTTTTATTAGAATGATTTTGGCATTTGATAGTTCTAGCTTTGCCGGAGAAAAAAGAAAACTCAAATCATAATTAATAATAATACAGATAGTAATCTTCTTCGGTTTCAAATGCAACGTGAGTTTAGATTCTCATAATCCATGTGTTTTAGTAATTTTTTGTGATTTGAGAAAGTTAAAGGCATGAGTATTATTGGCCTGGGTGTGGCTTTGCATATTTCCTTTCGTCAACTTGAACAAATAAAAATAGGGAGTAGATGGGTATTAATTGAAAATATAATTTCATTGAAAAAAAAACAATGAAGCTTACTCAAATGCATGTAAGAGTAGAATAATTTTATTCTTTTATTTAAGTAAATTAATAATTATTTAAAAAAAGAAAGAAAGAAAAATAAATTTTACATAAAAATATTCATTAATTGCTCAACTAATGTGATCAATTTTATATTTCTACATAACATTACTCTAAAATCATATGTTGATGATTTCAAGATTGTGCAGAAATATGGCATCTAGCATGGTTCATGGATTTTAGGTGAAGCACTTTTATGTCATAACTTTTAGAAAAATCATGTCCCATCCGATACAACCAATACAAACAGAGATAGAGATGTTGGCCATCTGATAAAAAATTCTACAATTTGATTGCTCAGAAACTGCCCCACCACAAATAGATGACACGTCATATATGAGCTGTTCAAAGGCAAACACTCAGCTTATTTTAATACATCCACTAAATCTTTTTATAATTTTAAATCTCTTCGAATGAGACGTTTATAATCAAATCAACATGCATGCTCTAAGATGAAAACTTTGAACGCAAAAAGGACGCAGGACCATTCGAATTTGGAAATCAGAAATTCCAATTACTGCCACGTGGGGCAGATGGTGTGTTGTAATAAGGCAGGTGCGCCTAAGGATTGAGGAAAAAAACTTGCCTGCACCGGGGATAGGGCTACAGTCCTATCCCCCTCCAATCGCAGCCTTTATTATATATACTTTTCAATAAATAATTCCCAACACTAAAATAGCTTATATTAACTATCAGAAGGTTGCGTTCACTTAAATTAATTGTTAAATTATTTACTTTTCATAATCATATCATTGCTTGACTGTTACAGTTTACCATTAATTGTAAAAGTCTGGTACTTTTTTTTCTTTTTCAAAAAGCAATATTCTAAAATATTAATGTATGAGGAGAGGGTCGAATTTGGGTGCAAGGAAGCATGTAATATATATATAGTCAGTGGCAGATCCACGAGTAATTTTTGAGTGTTGCCGGTACACCACGTGGTTGGTGTACCATCAAATAGACGGAAGACATATGGAATATGTCCAATGCAGTCCGCCACATGTCATAAGAAGAAATGCAGTAAGTTGGATAATAATTCCACATGTTTTATGTTTATTGGATGGTACACCAAACACGTGGTGTACCTGGAACATTTAAAAATTTCTCCCCCTTTAGACACCACCCCGTTCACACCAAAAGCCAGAAAAAAGATTCATCCTAAATAATTAAGCAATCCTAGTCCCCTGTCTTACTTGGACCCCATATATTTGATATATCCCATATATTTGATATATCTCATAGATACTAAAACGATAATTTTTTTTTATATAAAAAAGTGTTTCATTTGTATATCACAAGTATAATGTCAAATTTGTGCGGGAGGCCAAATTTGATTAAACTCGATTACTTTACAAATTGATTAAACTTGATTGAATAAAGTGTTGGAGGCCAAATTTGATAAAACTTGATTACTTTACAAATTGATTAAACTTGATTGAATAAAATGCAGGAGGCCACCAATTATAATGTCAAATTTGAAGTCCCGAAAGAAGATTACTGGTAGTTGGTTTTTCCTTTTGACAACGTTGTTTTTATTTTTTATTTTTTTAGTTTAGTTTGTTCAATATTTAAAGTTTATAAACTCTATGATTCATACCGGTTAGCGTCTAGTTTTTGTAATTAATGTCATTGGATTAGATTCAAGGAAATTATGGCAGTTGAGAGGATTATAGAAAATTTATTTATGAGAGTGATTGTCTGTCTCCAAATTGTTTAAGCTTTTCTATAGTCTCATGTCACTGGAGAAGTTTTACTAATGTCTACCATATTGTTATGGAGATGACTCCCTTTACAATATGTGTCCTTTGTAATGTTATTCATATTGATCTAATAAAATTCTATCGTATTTTTATCAAATAAAGAAAATTCACTAAACTGTGATGGTGGCTAAGAACCACGTGATGATTGAACTAAATTGGCTTTGAAACCCACTAATCAGCAATTAAATGATGTAAAATAAATAATAATTCCATCATTAAGTTAAGTTAATTATCTCACTGTCACTAATCTAAACTAAGATGACATAATTATCTCACAGGGACAAAATGTCTTAACAAACTTAAAAGTTAAATTTAAGACCAACCAGTATATGTTTGTAAGTAAGGCGAGTACCATACCACATTTACCAGCATTCGAAAATTTTGTGTGAAAACTGAAAAAGAGGTGATGTAAAAAAAAAACTTTACCGCAATTTTTGTAGAGGGCATGTAGTGGAGAAGAAGAAGATACCCTTGGATTGGATTGGATCCTGGAGGGCATGATTTGCAGCCAAACCTCTAACGTTTCACCCCCCCCCAATCCAATTTGGCCATTTGTCAAAGCATGCAACGACAAATGGGATGGGGGTCCCAATCAAGCCTGTTCACACGCGAAAAATAGATTCATGTTAAATTATCATAGATATAATTAGGTAGAATTGTAAAATTAGGAGCGCCGAAGTAGAAAATACAAGTATATAAAACACTTAAGTATTCAATAATTACACGTTTAGAGTTAAATATTTATAATTTAGTCATGTCTAATTTTTTTTTGAGGTAATTATAACTTAAATTTTAAGTTGTTTATTACAATTTCTATATATTTTATGTAATATAATATAGGAAAGATAAAAATATTGGAGAACCAAGGCCACTCCAAACCTAGAAATGGCTCCGCCACTATAATCACCCTAATTCACATCATGGACCTCGTAATAAAATTAAAATCCAACAATTTAAATACATGGTATGAGCTGTAGAGGCACAGAATGGATGGAACTTTGTAATAATATATCATATTATCGTCATGCATATGCTAAGCATTTTTTTTTAATCTTACATCCAATGAAATCCAAGTACAGGAAAAAGGATGACTAAGACATGATTGAGAGCCGAAAACAACCAAAACAAAGTCCAAACCAACGAGCTTCGGAAAAAGATAAACAGAAAAGAAAATGCCAGTTTGATAAATGGACAACAGAAGAGATAGATTTGTGGGACATTATTTCCTCCATAAGTACTTCTTGTGGCATTTTTTATGAAAAATATTTGTCTTCAAATATCATTAATTATGCTGAGAATAGTTAATTCCATGCATACAACAACTTAACTTGTTGTGGCTTAATCTTAAATTAATGCAGGCATCAAACATATATGAACCTCCATATTGGAACTCATTAATTATATGGTATCCTTAATACATCAGAATCTTAATGCATGCTTCCCTCAAAGATCATCTCTTCAAAAAATTACTTGAATCTGAAACCATTTGACCACTCAATTAGATTTTTGTTATTATAGTCTTTTTTTGAAGCACTACGTTCGTATATTTTGTCGATTCCAATTAGATGCCTTAATGATTTTCAATTTGCATAATTTTTTATAAAGATAATCTATGAATGTAAATTTGAAAAATAGACAATTTGAATATTTAAAACAAAATTTATAGAGAATCCTAAAAGGTGTCCCTCAATGGATGACAAAACTTAATTTGACTAGACCTTGGTGAGCATTATTACCACTCTAATTGTCGTTGAATGAATGTAATTCAATTTACTTATTACACAAATCTAAAAAATTCCACTCATCTAATGGCCATTAATATGGTGGTAATGCTCACGACCAATTAAGAGTGGTGACAACCGAATGGAAAAGGTATATAAAAAAGCAAAAGCAAAAATACTACTTGAACTAAAACCTTAGTATTCAGCGTAAAATAGAATTATGTTTAAAATAAATTTAAAAACCTAGTTTGTAGACACGTATGGTGTTAGATTTTCCATCAATATAAATTCAAGCAAGACGAATCAAAGAAATTTGACACAAACCGACGAGAAAGGATCGTTTTCAGCACAGAGGACAAGTTCATTTGCAAATATGTGTCTATTACGCGTTCAACGCCATTTCAATATATGTATAAAGAATGATTATGGGTCCCATTTTATGAAGCTTCAAACATACGTCCAAGTTGGCTGATTTTTAAAAACAAAAAAACAAAAGTGATGCTCTTATATTTTCTATTTAGTGGTAAATTTACTGCTGTTAAAACAAAACGATTATCTTTGTATTACTCACAATTCAGGTATAAACATAGAATATAGGATTAGCCATGACTGTCTTTTTTTTTTAGATACAAACAATGAGTGTCTTTTTCTTCATATGAGTAGCTTCATTTCATTTAATTTCATTTATTTATAATAAGTAAGATAATGCTAATTAGTTGTTAACCAGAATGCATGGTGGGACCGGTGATTGAAAAGGCAAACATTCTTTTTCTAGTTATCAAACCGCCATTGTTGTGTTGACCAATTTCCACATGTGTGGCCCTGCGTTGACCAGATTGGACTTTGAAGTTAGGAGATTTTGGGCAATCATCATGGGCCTTGTTAGGCCTGCTATGCATTGGGGCCCTTCTCTGATGGGGTTAAAAGCTTTAATTTCTTCAATAAAGTGTGACGCCACCACCAATGAGAAGTCGAAACTGAAGCTCAGCTTAACGGGAAGCTGATTTCAGTTTAGTGAAGATCTAAAATTTCAATTTTGGCCATTGTACTTTCTGAAAATCACAGAAATGCCCCTCCATATATAATCCGTAAGAAATCTTATTTTTCGAAAATCATTCAAACGCCGCACCGTCCACAAATGTTGCTCCATATGGAATTATGGATGTGGTTTTCGACCCCAGCTTCACGTTCTGGGAGTTGTAGACAGCCAGCCCAAAGCAAGATCTTAGTGCTCCTATCCTATGGCTGATGATAATTGTCTGGGATTTTGAACCCTGCCACAATGAGGTGAAAATTTTGACATGGAATTGATGAGTTTTGAATCCAACAATTCTGTTGAATTTTACTTGCGGTAACCCTCTTGCTCCTGTGTATAGCTTGAACTTTTTGGGTTTGCAGATATCTTCTGAGAGGCTCAGGGGATCTTCATAACTGTTCACAGTAATGCAGATTCAATTAATGTGTAAGTTCTGCAATCACTCAATCTAGATGGAACAAGTTGTATTGTTTTCAAAAGATTAATCTTATGATGGATATTCTTACATTTATGAATATAGTACGCAATGAAAATATGGATGTAGGGTCTGGATTTCTTATTTTTGGGCATGAATTTTGCTTTATTCAATGAAAAGCTATATGATATCAGAGAGGCAAAGAACCTTTTTTTTTCATTACAGAATATGTACTTTGTCCCCCTTTCCAAATAGGCTATATATACCTTAGTATTTGCTAACATTGGCTTCTGTCACTGCCTTGTGAGCTGACAGGAAAAGGGTTTTCCCAAATTGTCTTGAGAGCTTTTCTTTCTTTTTGGGTAATAAAATATGGGCCACAAGCAAGTACTTGTGTTCGTGGGTGTTTGGGTTTGAGACGTAAACAAAAGTGTCTGTACTAAACTACACTAAGGAGGATTTGGGTGTGGGTGGGGCATGCATTTGGCTTTTGGAATGGTAGATATTCTACTTTCCAAAAGTAACGAGGCAAAAGAAAGAACATTTTTTGTATTTAGTATGTACAGATTAAGCTGCAAGATTCATACCAATCAGTATCTTTAATCTGGTTTTATACCAGATAAACCAATACCATGGCATTTTTGCACCTTTCAACTTCATCCCTTCTCTGAAATAGACTCAATATGCTATAGGAAGGGGGTTTTTTGGGTTTTAAAAACGAGCAGGAGAATATGCTGAAGGAAGGTTTCAGTTAATAACAATGCATGGTTGAGATATGGGCAGTCAAATATAGGGAATCTTGGAAGTTGTTCTAAGAGGATGAATCTGGTTGCTACCTTTCCAACCAAGGAAATATGCTTGGTGTTGTAAGAAATTCCATCAGGGAAGGAAATTGTTACTTTGTAGCTTAATCTGTTTTCACAAATAGATACATATTAGTGATTTGCATATACATCATGCCATACAGACAAGCAACTATAGCATGGAAAGATTATCAGCACTAGATTCCTAAAGAATTGGATGTAATGTCATAGTAACACGTGATGGTAACATTTGTGCTTAGAACCAGTTTGTAAGGACAATTTCAGGAGATAATGGAAACAATCTTACAGGGCAATATATATATAGAGAGAGAGGATTGATTATCATGCTGAGAAAACAAAACTAAACATGTATCATGTTATCATTATAATACAGATGTGTGAATTATACATTCATATTCAAATGCAGAATCCAATAACACCCAAGGACTTCATGCATCAACAGAAAACAGCTGATGACCAGATATAGTGAATCTTGCTTCCTAGAATTTGGACTTATCATGCTTCCTAGAATTTAATTATAGTGAATCTTGGTTTTCTGAAATTTATAATGCATTCCCAGGTACCAAACAGAGTGCAATTGTGCAAGTGGCGGGTCGTCAGTTTATATCAAAGCACCATTCATAAGAGGATCACCAACCATTGTGAAAAAGATGTCCAAACAAAAACAAGGATGCATATCCCGTGCAGCAAGTACATATGCAAAAGGATTGCATGAAATCATGGCTCATAACCAAGCTCCTAATACGTACTGCAAGTATATATCGAATCATTCTAATGCCGCTAGGACGATTGTACTCTTCAAAATAAAATGAAAGAAAACAGGATAACTGGGTGATGCTTAGTCTGTGTCAGAGACCTCTACTTCCATCACCCCCTTCTTCTGCTTGTGTTCAGCTGCAGCATCCATCATAGACCGGTCTGTAACCTCACCAACGTGAAGAACTAATCCAACAGGGTTAGGCCCCACGGCTGTTGAAGGGCTGTCCTCCGTCTCAGGCACAATGCCAGCCTCATCCTGAAACAAGATTGAAACATAGGTATTCATCTTTCAACAATAAAATAGATCACATCACAACATAAGAATTTCATACAATTAATCTTAACTACGTTTAGTCTCTTTACTATACATAGAGAATTACAAAGACCGGGTACTGGACACCAACTAGTACACTCCAAAGATAGAAATCATGCTTTTGGCCACGGTTTACTCAATGCTCTCTTATATCTCTGTCATGCTCTATTACTCGATGCTAAAACATATACATAAACGTAATTATATGTACGCATACAACATTCTTATCAATACCCAAGTAAAACCCAAATCAACAAATTTCTTACAGAAAAAATATTTACAAAAAACTATATTTACAAAAAAAAAAAACAGAAAAAGGCTTGCTGTAAAAGTAAAACTCCAAATTTATTTACCAAGCTGTCAATTAGGCCTCTAAATACCGTCGGCCGTACCCTGGCCGGGCCTCCAGCCCGGTGCCGGAGTGGGAAAAACCTCAGGTGGTGCTGGAGGCATGAAGAAACTCGAAGGATTTATGTCTAATCCCATATCCTCCATTTCCTTGAGCACCTGGAATGGCAGAGTAAGGTAATTCCACATCTTGATGGACTCAAAGTGCTTGACCCGGGATGCAGGGCTCACCTTTTCGAGGTACTTTTGAGCTTCTTTCTCCTTGCCAGCTTGGACAAGGGAGCTATGCATAATTTTGATGAAGCGTTTGTTGCTGGCCACCAGAACCTGCGCCACGCAGTCCTTGATGAAAGCAGAGTCGACCGGACCGGGAGCAATTTGATCTGCAAGACACTCTTCAAGGCAAGAGTGTGACAAGCAGTTTTCCAGTATGGGAACCATTTCTTCTTTCTTCTGGGGAAACTGTTCTGGGATCAGATCTAGTTCCTTGAAGTGAGATTCCATTAGGTTTGCAAGAACAGAGGCGTCTGGATTGAGAGGGGTCGACATCACTGTTGAATTCTTGGGTTTAGGATTTTGGGTTTTTGGAGAAGAAAGGCTATGGTGGACGGTGGTGAACTTTGAAGGCACACGCTGAGGCTTTGTATTATAAGTTTAAAAAAAAAATTAAGAAGATGATCCATGTCCTCATCATCAAAGAGAAAAGAAAGAAACAATTGTGGGCCTACCAACTGTTTCACTAGCCAGGAATGGTTCAATCAAATTGCTATTTGTAGTTTTGTCGGAAAAAAAAAATTTCAATTAATAATTAATAATAATACAGATGGTCATCTTCTTCGCTTTCAAACAATGGAGCTTAAGCAAATGCATGTGCAGGAGTGGAAATAGAAATTTTTTATTCTTTTATTCAAGTAATATTAGAAGAGTGAGGAATTGTACTATGAACACAAGTCCTCCGATATAGTCGTAAATGCTCTTATACACAAATTTGTCTAAAAAGAAAAAAGAAAAAATTGCTCCTATACACAAAATGTATTTTGTGCTATAACTTGCAACTGCTGAGGAGAAAAAAAATCATACGTTGATGATTTCAATATTCTGCATTTGATTCTCTAGCATGGTTCATGGTTTTGAGGAGACTTTTATTCAAGGAAGAAAACGAAAAGGAAATATTTTTGCTCACCACTTTAACCGAATGTGTATTCTCATCATCCTTTTTAATACTTGATATATGTCCATAGGTATAATCATAGTTAACTTGTTACTTTGTATTTATGGAACCATAGTTATGCATATGGACACGTATCAAGTATTAAGAACGATAATGAAGATACACATTGGATTAAAGTGGTGAATAAAAATACTCCCGAACGAAAATGAAATTCCAGGTCAAAATTATAGTTAGTTGAAGCACCTATAACTTTCAGAAAACCATGTCCTATCCGATACAACCAATACACAGATATATGTGGCCATCTGATAAAAAAATTCTACAATTTAAATCCAGACAAATTATGAGCTGTTTATTTTAATACATGAACATTATAATTTTAAATCTCTTCGAATGAGACGTTTAAAATCAACATGCATGCTAAAAGATGAAAACTTTGAACGCAAGGAAGTTATTACGGTTAAAATGTGAGTGGGTCCTACTGGGACCAGTGCGCAGCCCGTTCACACCAAAAGCCAGAAAAAGATTCAACCTGAATAATTAGGCAATCCTAGTCACCTGTCTTATTTGGATAATATATTTATATATAGATACCAAAACAAATATCAAAATTATCATAGATGATCTGATGAACTTTTATTTACGATCTGCTAAAAAAACCATTATTATTTTCGATAATGGAAAAAATGAGTGTTTCATTTGTGTTGTGTATATATAAAAGATGAATTAATATATAAAATAAACATGATATGGGAGAAATAAGACACACATGCATTGGGTACAAGTATGTTGTATTATATGGATGATGTTTTGCACAATTATGTTATAAACTTATAATTATAGATTTTTATTAAAGTTTTGGTGAAAAGATTTTTATTAAAGTTGATTCAACAGAGTGGCCATAATATCCAAGCCCAATTACACATTACAATACATGTGGAAAGTGAAGGATATCTTCCCTACGAACATACGAATAAGTCGTTCATCCAGAAATCGATCTTCTTGAATAATTTCATTATACTTATTAATATATAACTCACACTTCATCAAATTAGGACGATGAAAGTCAATATCTCTCTCTCAATCTCATTCTCACTTTTTTTCATATGTACTATATAGCACATAAAATGAGAGAATAAGAACTGAAAACTAAAATTAAATCATTAGCAAACCGGCTCTCAGATAATGCTAATTAGTTGTTAATAGATACCAACGAGAATGCATACGCCATGGTGGGACAGGTGATTGATTGGTAAGGCAAAGATTCTGTTTCTAGTTATCAGACGGTCCTTCCTACCGTCACCGCCATTGTAGTGTTGGAAATTGGAATAAAAAAGGTGGCCCTCCGTTGACCAGATTGGACTTCGAATTTGAAGTGAGAGTTCATTTCTTCTTCACATGTTAGGAGATTTTGGGTTAGAATAATGGGCCTTATTGGGCCTGCTATGCTTTGATGGGATTAAAAGCTTTAATATCTTCAATAAAAGTGTGACGTCACGAATGAGAATACAGTGTGTGTAGCATACTAGCATGTAGATGGTTTAGAATTGTAGATGTTTTTTTCTTTTATTTCATGTAGCTTGTGCATCTAAATACACACGTGTCGCCATGTATTGATTTTTCACCATTTAGCAAACGGGGTCAAACAACTCACCGGATGTAGAATGAAAGCAAACCTGTTCACACCAGCAAAAGCAAATAAGAACAAGACAATTTGTAACACGAGTGGAGTGAAGCAGGTGAGCCCACTACTTGAACTAAAATCCTAATATTGTTTGTACAGTCCCGATCTCTTGGGGGGTCCAAGAGATTTATAGTCACTCACCGTTGGATGTAAATTTAACGGTTCACTTACTCTTGCACTCATTTTAAGAAATTTTTTTGAACCATTGGATTAATATCCAACGGTAGGTGACCACAATTTCTTAGACTCCTGTGGTCCAAGAGATCAGGACTAATTGTTTGTATTCAGTGATTCACCACAAAAAAATACAATTGACCAATCACATGGCCTTAGCTATTTTCAGTCTCACCCGCAATTTCAGTGGAAGGGTCGGAAGTGTTTCATTTTATCCTTATTACTATAATAAATACGATAGATCAAGTGATGCTCTTATATTTTCTATTTAATCCTATATTTTTGCTGCTGTTAATTTAATTCTGTAAATAGGTAATTCTGAAAATTTCTTCACCATGAGTGCTATGATGTTTTGATAATAAATAAATAGATTAAAACACAAGTATTATCTTTGTGTTTTTTATCTGCACATTCACACTATTTAGGGTTAGCAATTTGTATTCAAATTGCATAAACGTCATTTTTAAATTATGAGTGTGAGTCTCCTTTTCTTCACGAGGAGAATCATATATAACCTTTAATTAAAGCTTCATTTGGTTTAGTTTTTATTCTTTTATGGTGAAAGAGAAGAAGATAACCTTCATATAATTTTTAACATTCCAAAAAATAAACGACCACATTCATGTAATTTTAAACATTACAAAAGAATTCCAGAGGCATATCGTTCGTGTCTTGTATAGTGTTGCAGCATTGCACTTTTGACTTTGTTTACTCAACTACTTTCAAGTCATTAATCAACAATTAAATACACCATTAAGTTAATTTTCTATCCGAAATTTCGACATAATTTATTTTGCTCTTGGTGCAATCGGGGAAACAAATGTAAGCTTGTATAGGACATCACAGTCATTGAATCAACTTGGCTGATCATTAATTATCATGCAATAGATTAAGTGCAGCTCTTATATGATATTTTGTATATATCATTATAGGTATACGCTTGCTGTCCAATTAAATTTCTTAGACAAATTTTAGGGAGGAATTAGACAAATACAACTCCAACCATGCTCCCTATCTACCTCCTAAAATAAGGAGAACTCTCTGCGGATGTTTTTGTTTTCTTGTTGTTTGCCTCTCTGCTTCCCCCTGTGGTTGGCTGTATCTTTTGCGGTCTCTCTTTGGCCTGTTTTGGTCTCTCATTAGGAGTTTTTTGGTTTGTATTTTATTTTCGGTTGCGATACGGATTTGTCTTTTCTGTCATTGCACGGTTGATATACATTGTTAGTCTGAGTACAAGTGCTTCGGGCTGTTGAATAAGGGGTTAAATATTTGTTGGTTTAGACATAATTCTCTCCGGATCAATTAATTTGGTCATTGGAGATGTTGTATCCATTTCGGCATTTTTGTAGTTTTGTAGTATGTTCTATTTCTTCAATAAATACCATCGCTTTGTTTCCAAAGAAAATAAAAAGACCACTCTTTTATCAATTTTAGCCCTTTTTTTCTTCAAAATAATCAATTTCATGCAACTGTGTGCAGCTACCTCACATGATTAATTGGTCATATATATATTTCCTTGGCAAAAAAGAAGAAAATTGGTCCATATTTCCAAAAAGGATGAATATATATAAAGCAGTACAAATTGACTATTCTGATAATTGCAATAACAAACCACAATCCAGGACACGTATATATATGTCTCTGATAATACAACATCGGAACATCCGTATATAATAATACCCGAAAAACTTCCAGCCTGCATCTAATTTATTAATTACTAAAGTCATAGATTCGAGTATATATAATTGCACACAAAAAATTAAAGAAAAAAGTGGATGGATGGGGCCATTTGGACTGGTAGGTTGAGGCCGATGATGATGAGTCCTCTCCTCTGCAGCTTCAGCCTCATGGATTGGCGTTGTTGGGCTCATCAATACGAAGAGCTCCACCGTGCCTGGCCTTCTTCATCTGAAGATGCTGATCATACGGATCCTGGTCGTCCATTACAGCCACCGCCTTGCGCTTCTGGTCCTGATGATGATCAGCCTCATCACCGCTGCTCTCGTCCTCCTCCTCATCAACATCATAATTACCGCTGCTCTGGTCCTCTTCTTCATCATCAACAACATCATAATTGCGGGCATCCGAGGACTGAAAATTGGGTTTAACAAATAAAAATCGATAACAATCAAAGCTAATTAGACGACAGTCTGAGAGAGTTGGATGCATAAATAATTTATAAATACCAAAGTCTCTTCGAACGAAGTTGATGCTTGATTGTACTTGTAATCAATCCTGGCATCTTGGTTGAAGGAGGCCTTATAGTGATATGGCGGAGCGAGGACCAGCTCCAGCGGCGATGGAAGATCCTCGACGCGAATTAGGGCTTCGATGAGGCCTTCCTCCATGAGCTCCTTCTCAATTTCACCTCCCCGGGAGAGGGACAGCATATTCCAGATCCGGGTAGAATCAAGATTCCAAAGCTGGGGTTCGGTCAAGCTGCTCTTGTTCTTCATGTACTCCGCCAGCTCCTCGGGGCTCCCGTGTTTGACAACCAACGAACGCACCGCATCAATAAATCGGAGGATGTTTCTGTTCTTGATTCCTAGGACCAGCTCCGAAGCTGAGACATCTGATGGTGGCAAGTTAAGGTCTGGGATGCACCTCGCCGCCGCGTAGTTCATATCGGTAAGGTCAGGTGGCGGCAGAAAACAGAAACCCACGACATGATGGCTGCTGCTGCTGCTGCTGTGTAAGTCCATGTTCAGGCGGTAGCCCGTACTTGCAGCGATTGCATCTTGTCGGCTCGGGCCGTTGACGGGGATTGAAGACAAAAAGACCCTCTCTGGGCTCAAGCTTGGGGTACTGTTTGAGCCGTTGGTTACTGCAGCCGAGTAGAGTCGACTGGCATTTGGTGACATGAAAGCAGGTGAAGAGGGTCGATTGATTGGGCGAGAGTGGACCCTTTCTTGTTTGTTACTGCTTTCTTCAACCTCTGCAACTTTCATGGCATGGAAACGGACTTCTCCTAGGTGGAGACGGAGTAAATCGAGTGAAGAAGAAGAAGAAGAAGGGATCATTTGAAAGGGATTTTGAAGAAGAGACGAGATAGTCATAGCTTAGCTCTGTGAGTCTGAGACTAGAGAGAGAGAGAGAGAGGGGAGGGGTGTTTGGATGTTGAAATGTAGACCAAAGGTATGTTATAGGTTGTTCACATATGGCCTTTAAATATGGGATTTCTGTTCTTCTTCTTTCTTTATTTGTCACTCATTATTGAAAAATAATTCACCACCATGGTTGATCTTGATTTGATAAAAAAGCGAGTAACTTTGCTATAAAGTTCAAATGTTTTTTTTACAACCTGCTAGTGCCTCTCACATGGAGCTGTCACAGTTTAAAACATTCCTAATTAATGAGTATACTACAAATTGGACTGCCTATTTATTTTGGGCTCAAAAGCTACTGAAAAACTAATATTTTCTTGAAGAAGTCGTCAACTGGTACGAGGGAGGGCCTTCTTTGCATCCAATGTCTACACGTGTCGCCCCCAAAAACCTTTTTGGCCATTTGTCAAACGTAGGCCACCACTAGTACGCACTCAAAGTAGATTTATGCAATCCAATCCAATTACAGATTTCCTGTTTACATCGTTTTGAAATTAATATTACTAATTAAACTATATTGTATAAAAGAATTAAGCACCAAGGATGGTTGGTTAATTTAGATGAGGAGAGAGACTAAGCATAACTCAATGCAGATTGGACGCAACCATTTCTCGCTGTTTTTTACTACCAACAGTGCCAGCCAAGCAAAGGATTGGGTTAAAACTTCATCCAAATTAACCCAATCATTCTACTTTAAAATATAAATAAAACATTAAGTACAAAAAAGAGTTTCTCGGTATTGGCGATCAGTCTCAAGTGTTAGAGTCCCTGCTTCAGGGAGTCCGGTTTTCATGTTACCAAAGTTCCTGTGCTCCCATGTTCCCTCCTTACTTTTGTGACATGTGTCACACAACTTAATAGGAGTTTAACTCTGTTAATTCTCTTTTACCATTTTTTTTCTTTAATTAAAATAATTAAAATATATTATATTAGAAAACACGTTTGACAAAAAAAAAAATCAGGCCGCTTCATCTTCTACGCTACACTTCAACCCCTACATCTTCTCTGCACTGCAAAACGCAGCCACTTCATCTTCTCCGCTCTACAAAACTCAGCCCCTGCATATGGTTTGTTTTTCTAGTTCGCTCGTCAGCTGATGGTTCATCAAGTTAGCACGCTTTGCTCTTCATGTTTTTTTCTTCTGCTTTTTGATTGCTGGTTTTTTAGCATCGTATGCAAAATTCAGCCGCTTCATCTTGGGTATATAATTATCAAATGAATTGCGTAATGGGTATATAATTACCAAAACTCAGCCCCTACATATATTTCGCTCGTTGACCACTGGTTCGTAAGGTAAGCCGGGCTCTACTTCATAATTTTTTCCCCCTTTTTGGTTGCTAGTGTTGGAGCCATCGCACAAGAAGCTTTTAAATGGTTAATTTGCGATAATTATATACGCATTATGCAATTCATTTGGTTTCAATATTTTTTTTTCCAGAAAAGAGAAGGAAGAAGGTTGATTTGGCTGAAGCATACCTCCACCATTTTGGTTCATTAGAAGTTAATTCCCATCTTGCCTTTTAAATTGATCCTATTTTCAAGCTATGTCTCTGGACACTTGGCTACAAAGTCATCACAAGATTGAAACCAAATGAATTTGATTCAAATGAAAGGCATATTTGGGTATATGATTGTTGCAAGTTATATATTTATAAGTTTTTCATACGATGCTCGAAAACCAGCAATCAAAAAGCAGAAGAAAAAAACATGAAGAGCAGAGTGTACTTTCCTGATGAACCAACAGCCAACAGGGTTGAGTTTCGTGGAGCAGAGAAGATGAAGTGGCTAAGTTTTGCAGTGCAGAGAAGATGTAGGGGTTGAAAAGTGTAGCGTAGAAGATGAAACGTGTTTTCTAATATAGCATATTTTAATTGCTTTAATTAAAGAAAAAAAAATGGTAAAAGAGAATTAACAGAGTTAAACTCTTGTTAAATTGTGTGCCACATGTCACAAAAGTAAGGAAGAAACATGGGGCACATGAACTTTGGAAACGGGAAAACCGGACTCTGCTTCAGGAGACAGGAATTAGGGCACCTTTTCTTTCGCTTTTTCTTTTAAAAAGTAAAAATTTACTACTGAATTTAGTTTCGTTTTTTCGCAACTAATAATACTTACCAAATGGAAAGAAAAAGATTCACTCATTCAAACTCAAAGTAAAAGAAAAATGAAGATATTTACCTCATATTCCACGCACGGAGCCAAAACTTTGTGTTCCACCACTTGTCTCCACACAAGGAAAGTTACTTACGTTACGTGTATAAGGCCATCCCCAATGAGGCCTCTATTTAGAGCCCCAATGGTGGGACAGGTGATTGATTGATTGACCAATCACATGGCCTTAGCTTTTCCATGTTATTTTCATTGGAAGGGTAGGTAGTGTTTCATTTTATGAAGCTCCAAACGTCCAAGATGGCCCCTTATTACTATAATAAATCAAGTGATGCTCTTATATTTTCTATTTAATCCTATATTTTAAACCCTATACATTGCAAAGACAAACACTTTGGTCACTGATATTTTAAACCTTATAGAGGAAATTTATTTTATTTGTATTTTTCAACAAAGGTTTCATTTCAATCTTCATCCACTTGTTTAATTAGGTTTTTAAAGTAGATACTGTAGATAGATAGAGGCTTCGCCCGGAGAAGAAGACAATAACATGCCAAAGCATGTCAGAAACAATTCCCAGAAAGTAACCCAAATGGCGCCGGTGGCCACGGGCCTTCCTTTTATGCCTCTGAGTTTGACAATTATTCCAGTACTTTTGCGTCTTGAGGGGATAGGTAGTTTCTTTTAGGTCGAGTGGGGGGATAGGTAGTGGCTAGTGGGGGATAGGTAATGTTAACGATTGGATAGGTGGTGTCGTGTTCATTTGCGATTGAGCACTAATCGTGTTCATTTCCTTTTATGCCTTTGGGGCACTAATCGTGTTCATTTCCTTTTATGCCTTTGGGGCACTAATCGTATTGTATAAATTGTATTGCGTGTTATTTAGATAAGGCGTTGAGGACATCACAAAGTATGGCGTATTAATATTATAAAGTTGGTAATAATGCATAATGTTCGAGTTCAATGACATTTTAATTATTTTTCAAACATAAGTTATGTTCATAACTCGTGAAAATGAAAGAATCATATCCTAGCATTAATTCATCCCATTGGCATTTCTTCAATTACCCAATTTTTCCTCATTTTCGTACCAGTCTTAAATTCATTGTTGGAGATATATTCTTTTGTATCGTCAAAATTGTTTTAAAAGAAATATAAATCACTCGTAAATAGCAAGAAGTTCAATTGTTTGTGAAATTAAAGTTTTTTATTATAAAAAAAAGTGAGATTTTGGTGGTTTATAATCACACAAAGATTCAGACCATTTGTTTTAAATATGGTTTTCATAGCTCTTGGAAGAAAGATTTGAAAAAACTAAGAACAAATAATTCGAATTCATTGTACAATAAGTGTGAGGCAATTTATTTATTTATTTATATCTAATTGTGATATGCCAATTTTTCAGCCATTAGATTAAATTTAAATGACATCACTAGTTAACAGACCTCTTTAACTTAGAAGAGAATTTGCTTGAATTAATAATTAAAGAGTGTTTTAGGAATAATGGTGGGTGGAAAGAGAGGATTGTGTTTTTTCAAATTTACATAGTAAGTGGAAAGATAAGGTCAGTGGAAATAACATCACTTTTTTTTTTAATCTTACATCCAATGAAATCCAAGTACAAGAAAAAGGAAGAGTAACTAAGATATGATTGAGAGCCGAAAACAACCAAAACAAAGTCCAAACCAACGAGCTTCGGAAAAAGATAAACAGAAAAGAAAATGTTAGTTTGATAAATGGACAACAGAAGAGATAGATTTGTGGGACATTATTCCCTCCATAAGTACTTCTTGTGGCATTTTTTATGAAAAATATTTGTCTTCAAATATCAGTAGTTATGCTGAGAATAAGTTAATTCCATGGTTCATTCTTTTATATGTTTCTAGCTTATTCTAGTTCATAATTTTTATCATTAATTTCAAGTAAATAAAGATGTCACAAACATATACAATTGCAGCATTAAGTTAAATTAGATTGTTGTTATTATAGTCTTTTTCTTGAAGCAATACGTTCATCTATTTTGTTAGATTGTTGTTATATACAATTCCAACCTCAATAATTTTCAATTTGCATGATTTTTTATATGGATAATTTATGAATGTAAATTTGAAAAATAGATAGTTTGAATATTTTATTTTTTATGTTTTTCTAAGGGATGCTAAAAGATGTTCTTCAAATAATTTTATATATACAAATATATATATATATATATACAGTCCCCTTCAGTTGAGGGATCCCTCAAATAGTGTTATTTGAGGGATGGGGCGCTCAACCGTTGGATCTGTTTTAATGACCTTGTGTGGCTGAGATTGAATTACATCTTTTAACCCATTTTCACACTCCTGACCCACCACAAACTCCACTTCAGTTGAGGGAACGACGTACGCTGGGAAACCAAACGTCTCTCTTTTTCCTCCAACGCTTGGAGACCTATCACGCAGACCAAACGACCCAACGTGAAGAAGAAGACTCACCATCGTCAGTTGAAGAAGAAGACCCACCATCGTCAGTTGAAGAAGAAGACCCACCATCGTCAGTTGAAGAAGAAGACCCACCATCGTCAGTTGAAGAAGAAGACCCACCATCGTCAGTTGAAGAAGAAGACCCACCATCGTCAGTTGAAGAAGAAGACCCACCATCGTCAGTTGAAGAAGAAGACCCACCATCGTCAGTTGAAGAAGAAGACCCACCATCGTCAGTTGAAGAAGAAGACCCACCATCGTCAGTTGAAGAAGAAGACCCACCATCGTCAGTTGAAGAAGAAGACCCACCATCGTCAGTTGAAGAAGAAGACCCACCATCGTCAGTTGAAGAAGAAGACCCACCATCGTCAGTTGAAGAAGAAGACCCACCATCGTCAGTTGAAGAAGAAGACCCACCATCGTCAGTTGAAGAAGAAGACCCACCATCGTCAGTTGAAGAAGAAGACCCACCATCGTCAGTTGAAGAAGAAGACCCACCATCGTCAGTTGAAGAAGAAGACCCACCATCGTCAGTTGAAGAAGAAGACCCACCATCTATGCGACAGAGGTATGCTATCATTGGTTCTTATTCTTTCAATATCTGAGCCATGGTTCTTCGATTTGGAGTTCTGGGATGAATTCTGATATGGTTTCAATGGGTTTGAAGATCACTCCTCCAGATTTTTAATGGTTTCTTAAAGTTTTGGAATATCATGTGTATGAAGTAAAAATAAACACAA